AGATAAATCATGATGAAAACAACTATTACATTTAAATAAAAAGTACTGATTCTCACAATTCAGTCAACTCCTCCATCAAATAAAAATTGGTAGAAAGTAACTCTCCATGTCAAAATATCTAAACAGTGCAGTCTTGCTGAGGTAAGTGCAGCCCGCAAGAATCAACATATCAACCGAGAACTTGATAAAACGATAAAATCTTATCAGTGCAGTCTGGTTTGATGGCTAAGAAGAACAAGACTTCAGTATATGTCATCCAAACAATTATTTCGATCGTAAACTTCCACATGTCGCTTGTTATTTTATCTCAATCCATACCAAATACTACGTGTATTTTGTCTCTCATGTTCTTTTTAGTGTTCACGAGAACCATGTAAGCACCCACGAGCAAGGCAATGGCAATACCTTGTACTTGTGCATATTTACTATAATTCTTTAAAAACTTACCTAGCTATTTACATTAGGTCGATCGATAGTTTTTAAATTAAAACTGGCGGAAATCCTTCAGAGTCAGTTCTTCGGAGTTAACGATTGGTTGATGATGAATTATAAGAGTTAACGATTGATCGGTGATGAATAGTCAGAATTAACAATTGGTCGACGATGAATATATAAGAAGAAATATTGACGACTACGGTTTAATTAAAAAAGACGATGGAAAAAGATTTTAGTTTTTAATCAAGTAGTTCTCAGATTTTACTTATTAACTTTTAATATTTAATTGAGTTTTAGTTTTAAGGGTATTTATGTAATTTTATCTATAACGCATGTGTCGTACTTTCTTATGGGGTTCGTATTAATCACATGTGGCATTTTCTTTTTCTTAATCATTTTTTGTTACTTTATTTCCATCCAAAACCTAGACTAACTTATCCAGAGCAATTTGGGTTTGAAGTGGGGCCGCCGTCGGCACCGGAGCAAGAATTGAAGCAACAACCTTGAACGAGCGGGAAGGGTGTTGTATTCAGTGGGTGTTGCAATCGCCGATATATGATGGGGTGTTGCTTTCGAGAAAGCATGAACGGAGATCAGCCGCTTACGACTGAGGCGGAGTATGAGTACTCTTCAGATCCACGGTGGGCGGAATTCTGCGCTCGCATGGTGGATTCTTTTCCCAACGTCGCCAACTTCATCTAATCCACATTCTACCGCCAATATGTCATATGTTTTCCGATAATTGTTGTTTTCTCTGTTCGTGAATGGATTTTTCCCCCTTTTTTTTTGTTCAGCTTTGGTTTTATTGATGCAGTCGCCGATTTATGAAGAAGACGACTTCTTTTGTTTTTTTTTTTCTTTTTCTTTTCTATGATTTGTTAATATTTAAAATATTTTGTTTGCTTTAACCTTTAACATATTTTAGATAAAAATTGATTTAATCAACTTATTATAAAACATATTTAAAACAAAATTAATGAAATAAATATTATTTATAACAGAATATTCAATATGATTTATTTAGTTTTCTGTTATTTTATTTTTGTTTTATCTATGATTTATTAATATTTAACATATATTTTATTTTATATAATATCAATTGAAAGAACTAAACATTAACAGTTATTAAAAAATATAATTATTTAGAAATTGGCTTGTTTGGGTGTGAAGAGTTTTTGCTTTACTTTTTTCAGGGGTAGTATAGTCATTTCATTTAAGTCAACGAGCTTTATTTAAATAAGGGTTGGTGGGCTAAATAAAGTACATCGTAGGGGGTATATGATAATGTGTTTAACACATAGACCTTTTTAATTACCATTACACATTACACATGGGTACCGAACGCTAAAATCTCAACTTATCCAAGTTTAACGGGAAATCATTGTCATTAAATTATTTAAAACATTTTGGATAATTTTAATCCGTTAATTAAATCACATATATAAAAATTGATATAGTCAACTTATTATAAAGTATATTTAAAATAAAATTAGTGATATAAATAATACTTATAACAGAATATTCAATATAATTTATTTAGTTTTCCGTTATTTTATTTTTGTTTCATCTATGATTTATCAATATTTAATATATATTTTATTTTATAAAATATCAATTGAAAGAAATTTACATTAAAAGTTGTTAAAAAATATAAACATTTAGAAATTGGTGTTTTTAGGTGTGAAGAGTTTTTGCTTTACTTTTTTCAGGGTAGTATAGTCATTTAATTTCAGTCAACGAGCTTTATTTAAATAAGGGTTGGTGTGCTAAATAAACTACATCATAGGGGGTATATGATAATTTTTTTTAACACATGGATTTTTTAACCATTACACATTACACAGGGTACCGCATGCTAAAAACTCAACTTATCCAAGTGTTAAGTGTATATTTATACACTTAACTGTACCTTTTAATTGGAGCTTTTCATGTGTTTTTACGATAATTGGTGCTTAATATGGTTATTATTTGTATTTTAGGTGCAAATTGAAGAATTGGCAACTTTTGGGGTAAAAACTGCAAATTCGGAGAAAAAGTGGGCCAAAAGTGAAATAATCAGAATTCAGAAGATTTGAAGACCGCGCGGCCGTGCGGATTTTAAGCTTATATTTCACACGGCCGTCCGGATTGACGTAGGGGCGCAGTGAAGGAAGTTTAATTACACAAGGAAACCCGCCCTATTATATTTTTGCACCCTATTTAAAGGCCACAAGCACACAATTAGGATGATCTTTTACCTTTCATCTTTATTTTTAGTTTTTATCTTTCATCTTTCTACACGCAATCAAGGAGCACAAGAACGAAGACGAAGAATTGACGACTCTTCATCATAGTTCTCCTCTTTTATTAGCTTTTATGATTTTTCGTATTTTTATTATGTTTTTCGTAACGAACATGAGTAGCTAAGTTTTTATTCTAGGATTTTATTGGAACCCTATGTGGTAATTCGAACCTATTTTTCTACTTTTATGCAAGTTTAATTCTTCGATTATTTCCTCTATCTTGATCTTATTTAGCGCATGAACGTAGCTAATTTATGTTGCTATTTGTTATTGTTAGAATTGATTGACATATCGTTTTAATAATTAGAACAGGGATATAAGAGCCTTCGAGTAGTTTTTCACCGAATGTGTGTGTTAATTGCATGTATTATCGTAGACATACAGATAATACCTTAGGTAGCTGTTTGCGAGACTTGTTATTTAATGCTTTATTTATACTAGGTTTGCATAGACATATAGTGAATCTTTTATGAATAATAGGCTTATAGCGCAGCGACAGCTGGTTATGAGTAATTTCGTGTCTTGGGTTAATAATCGGGAATCGTAACTTGCGTAATAGGAGATTAATTGGGTGAAGAATTATCGCATAGGGGGAAGATAAAATCCTAGATCCGTTTTATATTGATATTTTCTCGTGATTAATTGCTTTCTTAATTATTTTAATTTAATTAGTTAATTAATTTGACAACCTTGCGTAGGCTGGATAAAAATCATAGTTGTTAGAATTTGGTACTTAGGATTAAATAATTTGCGTATTCCCTGTGGGATCGACATCCGACTCTCACGAGTCTACATTACTACTTGTTTGCGATACGTACACTTGCGTGTTGGTATTTAGCACCCAACAAGTTTTTGGCGCCGTTGCCGGGGAATACGGCTAAATTATTTATTTATCCTAATATTAAATTTGAGCAATTTTTCTTACTTCAGCCATTTATTTTTTTATTTTATTTAATTATTTTTTTTATTTTGTTTTAGGTACTTTTTATGCGAAGAGGACACGACACGAGCTTGCTACCTCTTGATCCCGAAATTGAGCGAACGTTTAGGCAAGCCAGGAGAAATCAACGGTTAGCCCAAAACACTCCGGCAACGATGGAAGACGAGAATAATCGTGGGGGAGGTGTCCAAGGGCGCCTACCGAATGCGGCAGGGGAAGTCGTTATCGAGCAAGAGCAACGCCAGCTAATTAATCCACCACCTCGTCAACGAGCACTGCATGAGTACACCGTTCCGACACTCAATGGGTTCCAATCAAGCATCCAGCAGCCCCCCATTGAAGCCAACAATTTCGAGATTCGAGCGGGACTCCTCACGATGCTCCAAAACAATGGTCTATTCAGCGGATTGGCTCATGAAGATCCACATCTTCACTTGGTCAACTTTCTCGAAACGTGTGACTCGCATAAGATGAACGGAGTAACACCCGAAGCACTGCAACTCCGCCTGTTCAAGCATTCCCTACAAGGAGCAGCCCGAGAATGGTTGCAAACTCGTGCACCGCACTCCATCTCGTCGTGGGCCCAGCTAGCGCAACTCTTTATGAACACATACAACTCCCCAACAAAAATTGAGAGAATCCGGCGAGAAATTCAAAACTTCATACAAGAAGCCGGTGAAACATTATTCGAGACGTGGGAGCGGTTCAAACAGTTAGTAAGGAGGTGCCCGAATCATGGACTACAAGAGTGGCGCCAACTGCAAATATTTTACGATGGACTGCAAGACAACTCGAGGACAGTGCTCGACTCTGCAGCTGGAGGTATGTTCATGAGTTTGACCTATGACGAAGCATACGAACTCTTGGAGCGAATCGCTAGGAATAAATACATGCGAGCATCGGACCGGTCGAATAGCGGAGCAGTCAAGACGGGAGGAATTTTGGAGTTAGACGGAGTCACTGCAATCACGGCCCAATTGGAGAAGCTATCGAAGCAAGTAGCGGCTTTGCAGACGCAGCAAGTCCATGCAGTCCAAGCTCCCCATCAAGGCGTAGACGAAACGGAGTCGATAAATTATGTGCATGACGCCAACCGACAACAGAGAAACCCGTACTCCAACACGTATAATCCTGGATGGAAGGATCACCCTAATTTTGGGTGGGGAGGAAATCAGCAGGGACAAAGGCAAGCACCCCCTCAAGGCCAACCGCCTAATTATTCACGACCAGCGCCCGGATTCCAAAATCCGCCGCAAGCACCACCTCAAGGCGGAGACCTCGCAAATATCTTGGCCCAATTTATGTCGACCACCCAAGCTTCCATTCGAAATTTGGAAACACAGATGGGCCAATTTGCGACCCAATTGAACGCGAGGCCAGCCGGTACACTACCGTCCAATACGGAAGACCCTCGAAAGGGCACCAACGAGCAATGCAAAGCCGTCAGTTTGAGGAATGGAAGACAATTAGAAGAAGTGGCGAAGAAGGCAACAAGCAAGGATGGGGAGGAGCAACAAGAAAAAGAAGCGGAGACTCTGACAGATTCACCAGGTGAGAAAAGGGTCGTTGCGCCTAAGCCGACCCCTCAGGTACCTTATCCTCAACGCCAGATAAAGGCGAAAAATGAGTCGTATTACAAAAGTTTTCTTGAGCAATTGAATGAATTACATATTAATATTCCTTTTACTCGAGCACTTGAACTAATGCCTCATTGGGTGAAATTTTTGAAAGACATGGTATCAAAGAAACGAAAATTCGGTGAACATGAGATGATAGCTTTAACCGAACAATGCAGTGCCATTCTTACGCGCCCAATTCCACCAAAGCTTGGAGACCCGGGTAAGTTTACGATTCCAGTCGCTATCGGAGGTAAGTTCTTTGCAAAATCTCTCATAGATTTAGGTGCGAGCATTAATCTCATGCCTTTCTCGGTTTTTCAAAGTTTGGGATTAGGAGATATAAAATTGGTATCTGTGACTTTACAGTTAGCCGATAGATCACTCATATACCCAAAAGGGATAGTAGAGGATGTGTTAGTTAAAGTAGATAAATTCATCTTTCCTGCAGATTTTGTAGTTCTTGATATGGAAGAAGATAAAGAAATTCCCTTGATTTTGGGAAGACCTTTTTTGAGAACGGGTAGAACTATAATTGATGTGTATAACGGAATTTTATCTATGTCTTTAGGGGATGAAACGATTAAATTTGATGTTTTCCGTACAATGAAACACCCTCAAGAGGTTGATGAATGCTTTGCTTTTGATGTGTTAGACCAATTGAATTTTGATTTTGTTGAACCTTTAATTGCGGATCCGTTGGAAGCATCTTTGTGTGTAGGAACATCAGTTGAAGAAGAAGAAGTGACGGAACAATTATGTTGGTTGGATTCGGCAAAGCCGCTGTCAAGACCACGCTTTGAGAGTTTGGAGACGGAGATCCCGTTATCTGTCACTTTTAAGCCTTCAGTGATCGAACCTCCGAAACTTGAGCTTAAAGTTTTACCATCTCATTTAAAATATATGTATCTTGGAGCTCATGAGACCTTACCTGTTATTATTTCTTCATCTTTGACAGGTCTACAGGAAAAGAGACTTTTGGAGGTATTGCGAGAGCACAAGCTAGCACTTGGATGGACAATCGTCGACATGAAGGGCATAAGTCCAACTTTTTGCATGCACAAGATCATATTGGAGGAGAGCCATAAATCTTCGGTGGAACAACAGAGGCGATTGAACCCCATCATGAAGGATGTTGTGAAGAAAGAAATCATCAAGTGGCTAGACGCAGGTATTATTTTTCCTATTTCCGATAGTGCGTGGGTTTGTCCGGTACAATGTGTACCCAAGAAAGGGGGAATGACTGTTATAAAAAACGAAAAAAATGAATTAATCCCTTCTAGGACAGTAACGGGTTGGCGAATTTGCATGGATTATAGAAAATTGAATAAAGCCACTCGAAAAGATCACTTCCCGTTGCCCTTTATTGATCAAATGCTTGATAGGCTAGCTTGTCAAGAATTTTATTGTTTTTTAGATGGGTATTCCGGTTATAACCAAATTGCCATAGCTCCCGAGGACCAAGACAAAACCACTTTTACTTGTCCTTTTGGTACCTTTGCTTTTAGACGTATGCCTTTTGGTTTGTGCAATGCTCCTGCTACTTTTCAACGGTGTATGATGGCAATTTTTACGGACATGGTTGAATGTGGTCTTGAAATTTTTATGGATGATTTTTCTGTCTTCGGTGATACATATGACACTTGTCTCCAAATACTGGCTAAGGTTCTTCGCAGGTGTGAAGAGAAAAACTTGGTGCTGATCAACTGGGAAAAGTGCCACTTCATGGTGCAAGAGGGGATTGTGCTAGGACACAAGGTGTCGAAGAAGGGGTTAGAAGTCGATCGAGCAAAAATCGAGACAATCGAGAAACTACCGCCACCAATTTCCGTAAAGGGAATTCGAAGTTTCTTGGGACATGCGGGATTCTATAGACGGTTCATCAAAGATTTCTCCAAGGTGGCCAAACCATTGTGCAATTTGTTGGAGAAGGACGTCAAATTCGATTTCAATGACGAATGCCTCAAAGCCTTCGACGACTTGAAAACAAGGTTAGTACATGCCCCTATTATTGTTGTGCCCGATTGGAATGAACCTTTTGAGCTTATGTGTGATGCCAGCGATTTTGCAGTAGGTGCCGTGTTGGGTCAAAGAAAGAATAAAATTTTTCATTCAATTTACTATGCTAGTAAAACTCTCAACGATGCACAATTGAATTATACCACCACTGAAAAAGAGTTGCTAGCAGTTGTTTTTGCATTCGAAAAATTTAGATCATATCTTATTGGCACCAAAGTCATTGTCTTCACGGACCACTCGGCTTTAAAATATTTGATAGAAAAGAAAGAGGCAAAACCTAGACTTATTAGGTGGGTATTATTGTTGCAAGAGTTCGACTTGGAAATTCGTGACCGTAAGGGTAGCGAAAACCAAGTAGCCGATCACTTATCTAGGCTAGAAACGGAAGTCAAAGATCCAATTTGCATTAATGAAAATTTTCCGGATGAACAATTGCTTGTTATTAATAATCAAGAAGTACCATGGTATGCGGATTTTGTGAATTATTTAGTTAGCCATGTACTACCACCCGAGCTCACTTTTCATCAACGAAAAAAGTTTTTACACGATGTGAATTTCTACTTTTGGGAAGAACCCTTTCTGTTTAGACAATGCAGCGATTTAGTCATTCGAAGATGTGTACCGGAAAGCGAGCAAGGAGATATACTCTTCCACTGCCATGGCTCGGATTATGCGGGACATTATGGAGGAGAGCGCACGGCGAGAAAGGTGCTTCAATGAGGTTTCTTTTGGCCAACTTTGTTTAAAGATTGCTATAATTTTGTTTCAAGTTGTGATAGATGCCAGCGAGTTGGTAATATTTCAAGGAGGCACGAACTCCCATTAAATACAATGATCGAAGTAGAGCCCTTTGATGTATGGGGGATAGATTTTATGGGACCTTTTGTCCCATCATTCAATAACTTATACATCTTAGTGGCCGTCGATTATGTATCTAAATGGGTTGAGGCGGCCGCCTTTCCTACTAATGATTCTGCAGTGGTTTGTGCTTTCTTAAAAAGACAGATTTTCACTCGTTTTGGAACGCCACGAGCAATTATTAGTGATGGAGGCACGCACTTTTGCAATAAACAATTCGAAGCACTCTTGGCCAAGTATGGAGTAAAGCACAAGGTCGCATTGGCATACCACCCTCAGACGAACGGGCAAGCCGAGGTAACGAATCGTGAAATCAAAAACATCCTCGAAAAGGTTGTGAGTCCTACCCGGAAAGATTGGTCGAGAAAATTGGATGATGCACTTTGGGCATATCGTACGGCTTACAAAACTCAACTTGGGATGACACCGTTTCGTTTGATTTATGGCAAGGCGTGTCATCTACCGGTTGAATTGGAGCATAATGCGTTTTGGGCAATTAAAAAGCTGAATTTCGATATTGAAGCGTGCAAGGAGAAACGAACGCTGCAACTCAACGAGCTCGATGAATTGAGATTGAATGCGTATGAAAGCAATCGTGTATACAAGGAGAAAACCAAGCGTTGGCACGATAACAAGATATTGCATCGAGAATTTCAAAAGGGGCAATTGGTTCTCCTCTACAACTCCCGTCTAAAGTTGTTTCCGGGAAAACTCAAGTCAAGATGGTCCGGACCGTTTACTATACTCGACGTATTTCCGCATGGCGCAGTCGAAGTATTAGACCCCGAGACCGAAAAATCGTTCAAGGTCAATGGACAACGCCTCAAGCATTATCATGGAGGGGAATTCAATCGCCAAGTGACTTCGGTCACGTTAGCTTGAACAAAGAAGCAGACAAAGTCCGGGTTGAAGACTGTAAACTTAGCGCTTCTCGGGAGGCAACCCGAGCTTTCGTTTTTTTTTTATGTTATTTTAAATTTTTAGTTTTGCTTTTATTTTATAAAAAAAAAAAAAAAGTTTCAGGGGCACTAATAAGAAGTTTTTATTTTTCAGGGCCTTAAATGCAATTCTTGCAACTAGTCACACGACCGTGCGAAAAAGACCTGGAATCTCGCACGGCCGTCCGAGAAACGGACGATGATACTGCCCAAATCCGGTTTTTGGCACGGCCGTGCGGATTTTAGGCCAAAATCTCGCACGGCCGTCCGAGATTTGAAAGGGCTACTGCCCAATTTCGCAACACGGTGCGGCCGTGCGGATTTTAGGCCAAAATCCCGCACGGCCGTGCGGATAAGAAATTCGGGCCAATTAAATTGGGGTTTTCCACACCCCAATCTTCACAAATCCAAAACCCCCCTCTCTCACCCTTCGAACCCTTGTCTTTCTTTTTCAAAATTTTCGATTTTCTTTGACAAATTTCGCCAGAAATTCACTAACTACACACACATACTACTTAATCTTGGTGGATTCTTGTTGATTTGTGCAGGGAGGCTTCAAGCAAGCGGCAAATTTCTCCACAATCCCATTCCACCAAGAACACCCACAAGGTGTTCGACGAATTGCCCAAGTCAAGTTTGGGGGAAATTTTGCACACCAATCCACTCCTAATCCCGTCTACACACATTCTCAAGTCATGGGGAAACGAGGACGTGATGGAGAGGGCACTTCACAAGGCGAAGGCACTTCAAAAGGCAAGGGGAAGGGCAAGAAAACCGATCAAATTCCAACACCCGACGACGATGCTTTTTGTGTCGAAGGCGCTAGTGCTCGTTTCGAGAAGCAAAAGGGGAAGAAACTAGTGACGGAGCGTGCCTACGAGATCACCCTTCCACAATTCGCACCGTTGCACCAAGAATTCCTACGACGAGGTTGGCAAGCATTATTGGAACCGGAGGGTTCGATCAACCTATCATTGGTCCGCGAGTTCTACGCCAACAACCGTATCCTCCTCACAACGGATAGGAACTCGAGCACGGTTCGAGGAAAGAAGGTCGATTGGTGTGCCTACGCAATCAACTCTTTTTATCACCTCCGACACACGACGCCATTCAATTGGGGGCAATTGCAACTTGCGGTCACACGAGATCAAATCGCCGAGGTGTTGTGCGATGGACCCCCCATTTGGTCCGAACTATCAACCGAAGAAAAGTACGAGTTAGAGTGGAAATGCATCAACCAAGTAGGCAAGGCGTGCCTTACGTTCATATGTGCCAACCTCATTCCCACCCGCTCGTGGACTCGCGTGGACCCCGAACGGTGCGCTCTTGCATACTACATCCTCAAGGGCACACCGATCAACATTGGCGTAATCATATCCGACCGATTTTGGACCTCCATGGTCAACAACTCCAAGGGGTTTTATTTCCCTTGCCTCGTTACCGGGCTATGCAAGAAGGCGAAGGTCCCAACCAAAACGACGGACATTTTCACATCAATTCGGAAGCCGATGAGTAACCTTGCGGCCCGACAATACAAGGCACCCATCCAAGATGGTGAGCAACCCGTCGAGAACCAACCAATAGCTCCACCCGAGGGTCCAAGCACAAGTTCGGACCGGCGATTTCAAAGAAGAATGGATCAGAGCGAGAGTTGGTGATCACGAGAAATCGGCTTGCCACGGTGGAGCACAAGGTGAGCACGATCGAATCCCTCCAACGGTGGTCGGGAAAGATGCTCCAAGCCATTGTGCGCCATTTGGCATGTGGCAATCCCGAGTGCGCCGAACCGGCTCCGTTGCCCGCACCGATTCTTGAGCCGGTACCCGAGCTTTCGGATGATGAAGGAGATGGTGATGCTCATGCGCAAGGTGGAGTTGGTGAGCAACCCGACGATGGTCCCGACGCTTAAAAACAGGTGTTTTCTATCCTTAAACTCCGGGCGAATCACATTGAGGGCAATGTGAATTTTAAGTTTGGGGGTGGTTAACTACTTGTTTTCGTTTATGTGCGCTTTATTTGTGTTTTTTTTTTATTTTATTTTGCATGCTTTAGTTTTTGTTTTAGTTGCCGTTTTATTATTTTCGTTTTTATTATGAAACAAAAAAACAAAAAATTTGTTCGATGCATCAATGAATTATGATGATGGTAGATGGTCAATGTTTGATGATGAGATTACTTGTTTTATGTTGATAAGGAGTATGTATTTGTTTAGCTTTCGATTCAACGGAACGTAGAAGTGAATTATTGCTAGGAATCACGCCTTGTGCATTGCTTTGGTTGAATGTTTTGCATTTTAAATTTGGAATTTATTTGTGCTCAATCATGCTTTGTTCGGTTTTAAATCTCACCTTAGGACATTTAGGATACGAAGTGTTGATAATAAGTGATTTGGGATATGATTTGGGCCTTCTTTGAACCGTTTGAGCCTTTCAAGCCTACCCTTTTTGTCAAATTATCCTTAGAACCTTGATTTGAGCCTCGGAGAAAAGGTGTTCTTTCTTTTAGCCAATGTGTAGAAGGTAGAAAAGTGGAGATTTTTGAATAATTATCCCTTGGAGGTCGGTCGAAAAATTCTTATAAGATCTTTCTTCTTCTTCGAAAAAAAAAAAGAAAAAAAAAATAATAATAATAATAGATATATATATGTGCATCTTCATATATATATATATATATATATATATATATATATATATATATATATCTAAGTTCTTTGATTCGATTATAAAAAAAAAAAAAAAAAAAAAAAAAAAAAAAAAAAAAAGAAGAAGATGAATAGATTATAAGGGAGAAATAAGGACTAGTTGTTGAATTGTGTTGAAAACTCGAGTCATTGCCTCAAAGGCAAAAGTGTTGACGTGTGAATTTTGGAGAATCGAGTTTATTTAAGTCCCTAGAGGTGAATTCATTGTTTCAAACGCCTATCTTTCAAATTTTGGCGTAATCACCTCAATTCAAGAAAATTAGCCACACATACCCATATTACCTACCTCGGACCAAAGAGCCTAACAATTGAAAGCCACAAAGCCCCAATGATCCCAATAGTTTATTGTCCAATATTAGTTGAGTAAAATAATTTGGTGAGTATTTGGAGTCAAATATATGCATGTAAGTATAAATTCTCTCTATTTTTAACTTGCAAATATTGGATACTTGAAGCAATTGTATGATTTGTGGTTTTTTGTAATAGTGAGTGACTAAGTGCCGTTGAATGTTAAGCTTGCGAATACTTAGGAATTATCATCATAATTGCAAGTTCTGAAAACGCGAAGTTGACCAATCGATCTATGTAATGAGATGTATGGTTTTGTTTTGTGCTCTTAATTTGATTTTACTTGAGGACAAGCAAAAGTTCAAGTTTGGGGGTGTGTTAAGTGTATATTTATACACTTAATTGTACCTTTTAATTGGAGCTTTTGATGTGTTTTTACGATAATTGGTGCTTAATATGGTTATTATTTGTATTTTAGGTGCAAATTGAAGAATTGGCAACTTTTGGGGTAAAAACTGCAAATTCGGAGAAAAAGTGGGCCAAAAGTGAAATAATCAGAATTCAGAAGATTTGAAGACCGCGCGGCCGTGCGGATTGACGTAGGGGCGCAGTGAAGGAAGTTTAATTACACAAGGAAACCCGCCCTATTATATTTTTGCACCCTATTTAAAGGCCACAAGCACACAATTAGGATGATCTTTTACCTTTCATCTTTATTTTTAGTTTTTATCTTTCATCTTTCTACACGCAATCAAGGAGCACAAGAACGAAGACGAAGAATTGACGACTCTTCATCATAGTTCTCCTCTTTTATTAGCTTTTATGATTTTTCGTATTTTTATTATGTTTTTCGTAACGAACATGAGTAGCTAAGTTTTTATTCTAGGATTTTATTGGAACCCTATGTGGTAATTCGAACCTATTTTTCTACTTTTATGCAAGTTTAATTCTTCGATTATTTCCTCTATCTTGATCTTATTTAGCGCATGAACGTAGCTAATTTATGTTGCTATTTGTTATTGTTAGAATTGATTGACAGA